AAACGGCTTCAGCGATTCCTTCGAACGCCGCGTGAGGGTCCGGAAGGGGAGGTCTGCGCGGCGCTTGGCGTGATGGCCACCCTCTGCGGCCTCTGCTTCGCCCCGTCGGATGTGGCGGCCGGGCGTCTGGCGAAGGCCTCCCTCCGCCACCCCGGCGGCCCCCCACGAGAGGCGATCGGCTGCGCCCTCGCGGCCTACTGCCACGCTTCTTGGAGGTCCGAAAAAGGCGTCGACCCCCCCCTCTCGGTCGAGGCGCGCTGGCTGCAGCTATGGGGGGAGGTCGTCAAGGACGATGCCGACGTCCGTGGGAGGTCCTCGGGGCCGTTGCCTCTCTACCTTTGGATGGGGACATCGATGGAAGGCGCGCTCCGTGAGCATCACCTAGCCTGGCACCTGCACTGCCTTGTGGTGGTTCATCGCACGCAGGAGGCGATGGTGAAGCTTGTGCAGTGCCACGCCGAGGGGATGCTTTCTCGTCTACAGCTTCCCATCGTGAAGGAGCTCCTCTTGGCGTTGCCGAAGGAGACGTTGGACATCGAAGGGGGGCACACGAAGATTGCAAGCATGTTGGCAGAACGCTTAGTCGAGTCCATTCGCCCACTCACAGGTGCCCAGCACCGCTTACTGAACGCTTCCTTGGCATTCTCCTCTCGTGGTTCCCGCGTGGTGTCTGATGTCCCTATCGTAACCACGGATGCTGTTCTATATGCTCACATGATTGACTACGTCTTGAACACCATCTCCATGGCTCGATCTCGCCCAGAGTACGAAGCACGTATGTCAGATCTCCAGACGCTCTTTTCTCTCGCGAACACGGACTCCCTTGCAGCATCGTTGGTGCCAGCTGGAGTGCCGATTGAGTCCGTGATGGTGGCCACAACCGATGAGCATCGTTCCCGACGGATAGGGATTCTAGGCCGTTCTATGCGGCAGACCATCAAACTTTTGTGTGGTTACTCTACCATTGCTCACGGTACTAAGATTCCGGTGGTATGGCTACAAGAGCCATCCCTGGCCGTTGATCGGGCTATCCAGCTCGGCGTTAGCTTCCTCAGCCGACTTTTGGTGCTATGCTCGAGTCGTGGGAACGGACTCGTGCGGCGGACGGCCGAACCGAAGTGGCGGCGAAGACTGCGTGCGACCACAGCTGTGCGGACGCATAAGTATCAACTTTTGCTCTCAGAGCTTCCACATGCAGATTTGAGTGTTACCGTCCAAACGCTGCTTAGCGGCGGCTTTGTTTGCGAAGGAGGTGAGTTGGGCTGGTGTCTGCTGAATTCTGAAATGGTTGATCTGCGATTTTACTCTCTTTTCACTCTTGGCTTGCTTTACCAAGCCTTATCTGCCCTTTTGAAAGACACAAGGGCTGTGCCATTTGCAGGTAAGCAACGATCTGGTACGCATTCCCACAAAATCGACGAACAGAGTGAAGGAGGAAACACAACCGAAACAGAAGGGAGCTGCAAAGAGAGATACGATGCTGTGCTCACACAACTTCGTGTTTTATATACGCGGCGTCAAGAAGTGTTTGGGGAGGAGTTGCTTTGCTTTCAACCTACCACCACACACGAGGCGGTGCACAGCTTAGCGGAGTCTGATCATAACCTTGCTGAAGGTAAAGCCACCCACGAACAACTCCCCTTAAAGTTTCTTCCAGGGTTCCCCGCTCCAGGGCGCCAGTCGTTGGCGCCATCCACGTTTTTTGAGTCAGCCCCTGTTGTCGTCGACTTCGTTTGGAAGGCTCAGGAGTATGGCTCAACCCACGATGTGCGGGTGCGTCACCTGGTGCATTGTTTGCGTAATCGCTCCATGGTAACCCCCGAGGGGAAGCTCGTCCTGGATTGCCGGCGCCACACCTTTGACGGCTGGGAGCTGAAAGGAACGGCTACTACAACGGCCTGAAAATGCACAATAATCTGATATATACACATGCTCACGCACGCTGATGTTGATTTCCCTTTATCTTGAAGACTCATCGAATTGAGTTCGAAATCGATGTGCGTTAGACGGTCAATATTAACATGATCTGCTTTAATTATTAGTCCTACTAGGATTGCTGTTGATATTTATTCTGGAGGTTTTGCTTGCATTGAGTGATTTTTTTTTTTGAGGTTAGCCTATGCACTTTTCTTGAAAACTTTTCCTCTTTATATCTACATCAATACCTATATGATTTATTTTGATATTACAAACACAGGTGGCTTCTTTCACACACATT